ATATATATATATATATATAACCATCTCAACATTTACTTAAAAGAAACACATACTCTTATATTTTTGGTGACATATATCCAAATAAAAATCTCGAGTCAAATTCTATTTGATTTTGACGTTTGTGTTGCTTAAAACCAGACAATTCCTAATAAAGATTAAGTGTTTAATATAAGAACACGACGTACGTACCTCTTTAGCTTAATAGACTAGTTAATACTCGTGCTGGTTTTTAGTGTTTAATGCATGAAGAAATACTTGGTCTAAAACTAGAACAAAATGAATGGTGATGATTATCCTTGGGCTTCCCACATTAACGCACAAATAAATATATTGCATGTATTCCACCATAATAAGCGGCTCCTTAAATTTTACCAACTACATTCTTTCTAGTCACAATTTTGCATTAAAAACATTTGGCAGGATGTATACGATACGAATAATGTTGAATAACGTGTATTAAGTAATGTAAGCATTACTTATGCAGAAATTATTTCGTATTCACTGTTTGATATGATGTATTAAAAATTAAAATGCATTGCATAGTTTTTAAAAAAGATTAGTTGTTTACAAAAATGCCCTGCATATTTCTTAGCTTTAAGAGACTTTAAAGATAATTTTGTCTTTAATCATGCTAATGCATATATTAACATCTTTGGTATTACTAATATCGTCGTTTGCTATGTATTAGTTATACATAGGATAATACCAAATATGTTGTATAACTAATACTTGCATTAGTAATATATAAGTTGAAAAAGTGTATCAAACAAGGGATTAGTAATTCCAAAAGCTAATGCATGCATTATTTTCTTTAATGCATCCTGCCAAACGACCCGTATGAGAAAGCAACAACTAACAAGTGTAACGAAATAGTAAACGGATCATTCTATTCTTAGTCAGATGTCTTAACATCGAGTTTTAAAAATGAAGAAACTCCCGATAAGGAATGCTTCCCCCTTAATGGACACTATGTCGTGGTATAAATCAGAATTAGTCATGCCAGTAAATTTCGATCGTCGTCTAATTTTAAGAAAAGAACATAGAGAGAGAATTTTTACCTGGAAAAAAGATAGTCGAAGAGTGAAGGAAGAAGACGACCAAAGAAACCAAAAGAAGATGATAATGAAACCAGAGCAGAAGTCCCAGTGTATCCACGAGTGTCAGCAATTTGTCCCAAATTATTTAAATAAACCAAACCAAGTGTTGCACCAAATAAATAAACAAAGAAATATAACCAAAAATCCAATCTCATCAACATTTTCTTTGCTCCAATTTCCTCCATTACAGCAAATCCAAGATCATTATCTTCTTTCACCCCACAATTAGTACTCTCCTCTTGTGATATTCTCATTTCAGCTGTATTAGCTTCTTCCAAATTACTTAAATCACAAATTTTTGGGTCTCTTCTTATCCAACATTGTCTATGCCAATGTTCTTTAATTTTTTCAGTCAATGGTACCAAAATTGGAAGTACCAAAAATACCCCCATTCCAAATAAACTTAACAATCTTGGCAATAACTTATTCATTGCAGATTCCATGCTAGTAATCACAGCATAAGTCCCTGTAGCTAATGTTATAACAAACATTACTCGAAAACCATCTGATAATTTTCTTGATTTTCCAACTTTTGTCTCACGAATTACTGGTGCAGCAACAATTGAAACAAAGAGGGGTAAAACCGAGTTCAAAAGAAGATAAACCTCAGCCCTTTCACTTGGGGATGAAAAATTAATAACATTGACTATATCTGTAATAATCTTGGCACTTAAACTTAAGTAACTAGTTGATAATCCAACTGCAACTTGACGGTCTAATGGAAAATTTTGTATTGCTACTATGTAACAAACAGTGTTGATCCAACAAATGCTATTACCAGCTAAAAAAGTGAGTGAAAAAACATGCCAATATGATAAAGAATTGATGTGATTTGCAAGGAAAAGATATTGCACCCCATAGCCAATTAATCCAAGTGTTGAACCAATTAAAAGAACTAGCCAAAGGGGTAAATAAGTAGCTGCAATTCCAGAAAACCAACCAAGTAATTTTCCAGCATCAGAAGCAAATGCTAGGTTATTGAGTTGAACTTGAGATATGGACAAAAGTTTCTTGATCTGTGTAGAATAAGCTGGAAAATTAGTGTTTGTTCCAGCCATGGATTGTAGCCATAATGCTCCTACTAGGCTCATCCATTGCCGAGACATTGAAGTATTTTAGTACTTTGAAAGAGCTAAAGATGTCTGAATATTTGAATAATAAATAATGAAGAATTTGTGGAAGCTTTATAGATGGGAAGTATCTTGAATAAGAAAGGTAAAAGTTGTTTATATGGAAATGTGGTTGGCAGGAGGCAGGCTGAGGTACATGTATTGAAGGAGTGCAATTAAGTTCCTTTTATTGACAAAATTATACGATAAATATATTTGGTTCTTCTATTTTTTGCAGCAAGAACAATATATTTACCATAATTGATTTTTCCGATTTGATTCTCCTAATTTTGAACGAATGGCAGCATATTTACCATAATTGATTTTTCCTTTTACGAAAAGAAAAATATTATTCTTTCATGTTTGGCTGGACCTTTTTGTTGAAGGAAAATATATAGTGGATTGCTCATCTCCATCTGTGTATGTAGGTCAATTGATCGAATCACGTTAAATGTTTGTGTCTCTTTTGGTATATTTCTTTTTTTTTATTTGATTTATCGTCGGTCAAGGTTTGCTTTACTAGCTTCCGCATGACACCTGATTATTTCGATCCTAATAAAAAAATTATTTTTTTACATGTATAATTCGTAAAATTTCCTTAACATAAGAGAAGTATTTCGTGCAATGGCAAAAGATCACTCAAAAGTTTTATTAACTCACATATGTTGCATTTTTTTGAATCCCTTATTAGAATTTTTTATTCCGCCAATGCCATGAGGCATCTAAGGGTGTTTGTTAAAGCTCAATGAAGCGGATGAAAATTGTGCAGACTACCGTTAAAGTTCAGAACAAAAACACGCTACGTGATTTTTCCAAACTACCTTAGTCATCGTAGGCATTGTTACCGGCTCTTTGTGATAGTAAACATAGTAGATAATCGAGGTACAAACAAGCTGATTCGGAGACGCACGTAATTTAAAAATGTGGTTGCCAGGAGAAATGATGTGTAGAGTTAGGAGCCACCACTTAAGGGCATTTAAGGCTGATTACAATTGCGTGTATTTTAGAAGTATGAAAAGTTTGCAAATGTTGCGGCTGTGAAATACTCTTAAAATGTCAAACAGAATACTAGGAGTATAAAATTTGTTGGAGACGTAAACATCATAGAGGGAACAGTCAGGTTTGCAGTTTGGTTATGTAACTAATTAAGTGAACTAAGACCCTTGGACTCTTTTACCTTTGTTTGGCTTACATTTATTTATTCACTTTAATTCACACCAGCTTATCTCCTTTGGGATATTGACTTTCTATTTATGGTTACTAGTTAGTTCTAGTAGAGATAAAAATAATTTTGCTTATTTTAATATGGGAATCTCGCATGTGAAACTCTTAGATTGCGTGATATTGGTTTTCATCATTCAAGTTGTCAAGAAACTGAGTTAAATTCGGAATTGTACCTGAATTCATAAATTCGATGGGAAAAAAATCAATTGCGATATGAGTTGGAGAGTCAGAATATTGTAAAAAGATGAGAATTTTGGCACCACGGACATTATGAGTGGATATTGATTATTGATGATGTTGTAGGGATCGGATTGACAAGAGTGGGTTGCTCTAGTGGTGAGTACCCTCCACTTCCAACCAAGAGGTTGTGAGTTCGAGTCACCCCAAGAGCAAGGTGGGAAATTCTTGGAGGGAGGGAGCCGAGGGTCTATCGGAAATAGCCTCTCTATCCCAGGGTAGGGGTAAGGTTTGCGTACAAACTACCCTCCCCATACCCTACTAGTGATTAGTGGATCGAGTTGCACGCTGCATTTGGTACCATCTCATCAAGTCAAGTACCCTTAGTCCATTAATAAGAAATTACATCAGAATTAACGAAATAAGACTCATACTTTGTGACCATGTCAACCTGAGCATATCACTTCTAATTGAATCAAACCCTTTATAATACAAACTAACAGAAATTACTTTGAATACGTACATATGTGTGCACGCAAGTCCATAAATTCCTTTTTCGTCCCTCTTTTTTGGTTAACATAAATTCTCATAAATATTGACTTTTAATTTGATTCTGGATAATATTTAGTTCTAGCAGCGATAAAATTAAAATTTATTTAAATTTATGGATCTGAGTCTGGCATGTGAGACTCTTAGCAATTTTATGATATTGGTTTCGTCATAGTTATAATTATTTTAATTTTCGATATTTATGCATGCATTCTTCTCTTCCTTTTCATCTCAAAAAGGTTTTGAGTTATGGGAACAATCTACCTCATGATTATTGATTTATTGACTTCTGTTTTTGGAGAATAATTAGTTCGAGTAGATATAAAAATAAATTTTGTTTACATTTATATAGCACTTTAACATGTGCGACTCTTAAATTGCATGATATTGGTTTCGTAATAGTTATATTCTTTTAATTTTCGATATTTATGGATGCATCTCTCCCACCCTTCTCCCATCTCATGTTCTTTTGACATAATTTTCTATCTTTGGAATTTAAAAGACCGTTTACAACCTGGCAAGTTGTTACTTGTGTACCCAAAAATCGTAGTGGAGTGGCAAATTCTTTTATATTTTAAATCAATAGTCTTGAGTTTGAGTCATATATGAAATCACATTTGATAGAGAAAGCTTTACTCCCAAATAAATATTTTTAGCCTGAATCCAGATTGTTCGAGCCCATACCAAACTTTAGATGAAAAAACAAAAAGTCGTTGTTGGTGTGAAGGCAACAGAGGCGGATTTATAGATTATTTAATAAGGCACATGAACTCATGATCTCTCCATCAAACTAGGTATTTTATATATGTATTTTTTAAAATTAATCTAATATTATATATTTGCACCTATGCTCCACAAATGCTGAATTGAGCACTTGATTATATACTCAAAAAAACAAGGATTGATTCTCACTTAATAATTTTTTCCTATTTTTTGGTAGTACACCAACATAATATATAAAGAGATCATGATACCACTCCATAAAGTATAGGACTAATTAATTATTATTTTACTCTCCAACATCATCATTCAAGTCAATCAATTCATGTTTCTTTTGTCATGCTGACCTAATTCTTTCGTCATTTTTATTTTTTGCATTTTCTTCACTTGATTTATATTTGCTACCCTATTTTGATTAACGTCGATTAAACATTTTATACCATAGTAATGTGTCAAAATATATAAATTTTTGACTTTAATAAGTTTATTTTTAAGGCAGATATCTGTATTATATTAAAAGTACGAAAGCCCTTAGCAAAATGCCGTTCGCCTTTTTTTGCCTTTTAACATGGAGTTCACGCTGGACAAAATAATAATTTAAGTATTTTTCTAATATGTAAAACTTTCAAATTAAATAAAATATTATTTATTAAATCTTTCCCTATTTGAAATATATAAGACTCATAACTAAATTTTTGGTTATGAAATCTTTCCTTTTAAAATTAGTAGAAAGTTTAATATTTACAATTTCAAAATAAATATAGTCTAGGAGAACTAGGAATATGTTTTATTTTTCTTCTATTTTCTTACGGCAATTCCCTTCGAAATATGTTTAGGCATTCATTCTTTTTATAGGTAATAACTTAGAATTTTAAGGGATAGTGAGATGTTTATACTTCAGAAATATTTTAATTATTAAATAGTTTTTAAAAATATTACATAAGAAGATAAAAAATTATCTATATTTTCTCTATTATTATAAAATTAAAAATTTCCAATGCAAAAAATAAATAAATTATTCTTTTAATGTTAAGAATAAATAATCAACTCTTTGAATTAATTAATTAGCAAAAGAATCCAATTTAATTCTTTTTCAAAATCTCATGTTAGTAAAGTTATTTTTCAAGTTGATCAAACTCTTTAAGTTACACAAATTTGTTTCCATAAGAAGAGCACCAGTGGTGGCAGAAATTAAAAAGTTAAGCAAAATTAGTTATATTATAGTCAGTATTAGGTAACAAAATAATAATAATTTTCATAATATATTCCCAAAGTTCTCATAAATCAGAATATGGCATAACAGACTTTTATTGGACAAGATTTCTTTATTTAGTGAACTAGCTAAATTGGATCAACGTTCATTATTAAGAGCTAACATTTTTAAATTTTTGTTCAATAACTCAAATATTTTATTTAATAATAGTCATATTATTTTTTAAAATTATATATTCACTGAAATAAGGTACACGTGCAGAGTGTGTACCGTAAGACTAGTAGAAGAAAACATCACAAGATATCTTATAGCACACCATTATATTGGAAAGTAACATATTTTTTCATCGCTTAGTTTGTTGGCTGCTATTGCCCTGCTTTGAGAATATTGATGATATTGGTTGTATTATAGAGTAGTTATTATGCATGTCTTTGGAGTCAACAAAACATTTACTCCCATGGGGTAGTGGTCCTCCATTGGTTGATAGCCTATAAAAACATATAATTCATGTGAATTCACCGAGTTAATTACTCCAATATAACTAAATTTTTACTTTATTCGTTCACTTTTACTTGTCCATTATTCTAAGAATATATTTTTATTTTTACTTGTCCATTTTCGCATATCAAGAGAAAAATAACTTATTTTTTCTGTTTTGCCCTTAGCATTAATTACTTATTCCAAATTATTTTCCAAATTTATTAAGTCAATATACCAATTAATATGGGTATCATGATAAATTATACACTGTATTTATTATTTCTTAAGAGGTGTGCAAAGTCAATATTGGACAAGTAAAAATGAACGGAGGGAGTATATCATTAGTGTAATTTAGCCTGTTACAGCATATTAGTCCATCTGATCCATTTTAAGTAATTTTTTTATTTTTTTATTTTGGTTCAAAATAAGTGTCTTTTATATAATCAAGAATGAATTAACGTTAGTTTTTCAATTTTTTCCTTATTGACATATCCTAATGTGTCAAGTGAACAATATGCAAATTAAAATTAAGGGTAATTTAGTCAAAATACTTATTTTTTTCTAGGAGCTAGTATTTTATTAAGGGGTGTGTCAAAGACCAAAATGTCACTTTTCTTTTATTATAGGCTAACAATCATTGATGGAGTATTAAATAGAATTATTTATAGGGATCTTTATACAAATATCAAGTCGGATTCACTGTTTATTTTTTCTAACCGATATACATAGTTATATAATTGATTATACACAATTATACACATATTATAAATCCACGGGTGAGTGGC